CGGTTGTTTACGCGTGTTTCTCTCCCACGCTTCAGTGACTTCCAGCGAAGATGTCGGAGTACATCCGGGTCACGGAGGACGAGAACGACGAGCCCATCGAGATCCCCTCGGAGGATGACGGCACCGTGCTGCTGTCCACCGTGACGGCGCAGTTCCCCGGGGCGTGTGGGCTGCGCTACCGCAACCCGGTGTCGCAGTGCATGCGGGGCGTGCGGCTGGTGGAGGGCATCCTGCACGCCCCCGAGGCCGGCTGGGGAAACCTGGTCTATGTGGTGAACTACCCCAAAGGTTCGTGCCTTTGTGTTTCCCTATGAGCTCTTAGTCGAGAGGTCCATGTGTGTCGAGTCCTCGCATTGACAGAAATCCTCTGATTTTACTCGTGTTCATCCCACGGGTGAAGTTGAGCCCGCTGAGTTTTCAGATGTGCACAAAGCTTTAATTCTTCAGCTGCGGAAGTGCGTGAATGACAAAGTTTTGTGTCGTGCTTGGGAGAGTTGCAGCCTAATTAGAACTTCTAAAGATTGCTGGCTCTGTGTGTACTCACAGACACTTCAAGCCGTGCTTTGGTCACAGCCACCTTTTGAGACAAATGCTGAGGAAAAGAGCAACCAAAGGCACTCTCTCCAAATATTATCTCATTAAATATTCTTGCTGAAAACCCGTCTTGCTCTCATCCTCAGAGGACTCTAAACGTTACTAGGTGGTCCTTGAGTGAACTAATGCAAAACTAACTCAGAATGCATTTTTGAGGAGGATTTGGTACAGGTGGTTCCTTCTTTCCTCACGCTTGCAGACAGTTGGCTGTGGGTCATAATGATAGCCTCCAACAGCTGGCATGTGTTCTTCCACAGTCTGCACTTTCTCTTATTGTTGTCTGGTTTTATACCACGCTTTTCAAGATTAGTGGAAGCAGTTTCTAAGCTTATGAGGACAATTTCTAATGTACATCATTGTATTCAGATAATAAGAGAAAAATGGATGAAACAGATGCATCATCAGCCGTGAAGGTAAAACGAGCAGTACAGAAGACTTCAGACTTAATTGTCCTAGGTTTACCCTGGAAAACTACAGAGCAAGACTTAAAGGAATACTTCAGTACGTTTGGAGAAGTTCTCATGGTGCAGGTAAAATACTTTTTAAGTATGGAAAGATGTTAAGTAGACTCTGGGGTTCTGATGGTGCCAGTAGAAAGAACCAGAGCCCTGTATGTGCAAAGCAGATCTGAAACTGTGTGCCTCAGTTCCTAGGTAGTTTGTTCCATGAGCTTTGTAGAGGTAGAAATATTTGGGAGTGATAATCCATGCAGATTTGCCTAATGGGTACAGTATATTAAGATCGATTTAATTTATGTTACCATTATTAATTGTTGCAGCTGAGCATGTGTCAATTTTTCAGACTTTGAAACAAAGCTTTACCAAATTAATTCAGGAACAGCATGTTTCATGCTCTAGATTACCTCTGTGTCACCACTACTTCACATAGCCTGTGCAGCATCTCCTGTGCCAGCTGTGAGCACTGTGCTTGGTGCTGCTTGTCTGGGACAGGCACAGCTGTGGTGACCTGGCCAGGCCTAGGGGCTTTTTGCTGAGAGAAGCTGAAGCTGAGCTGAAGCTGAGTTTTCTTCTCTCTTCTCATGCAGGATATTTTTATCCTCCCAGGAGGGGAGGATCTCACTGCCACAGAAAGGCTCTTAATCTTAGCTTTTGTTACGTGTCCACAGGTCCCGCGTGCAGCTATGTGTGGTTGCTTTGTTTATACAGCAAGTCTGGCCATGCCATTACAGTGTTACAAAATAATTATATCCCAGTGCTGGTCATGCTGTTCTAGTAACTAATACTGGCGCTCAAAGCAGTCAAAATGCATTAAATTTGTAGGTGTCAGAAGCCTGTGCTGTAAATGTGTAATAGTAGGGTTAGTTTCATAGGAAAAGGTAGTTGTGTACAAGGGGGTAATCAGAGATCTGAGTGCATCCTTCCTGGTGACGATAATATCAAGACTGATACAGAAGATGATAGGTAAATAGCGTGCCATTAATGTCATCAGTACAAGCACAGTCCTACTGCGTTCTGTTTTAAAGTCTGCTTTTTTATCCTAGGTTAAGAAGGATATTAAAACTGGTCACTCAAAGGGTTTCGGTTTTGTTCGTTTTACGGATTATGAAACCCAGGTGAAAGTCATGTCCCAACGACACATGATAGATGGCAGATGGTGCGACTGTAAACTTCCCAACTCTAAGGTACTTTCATATTTATGACTACCTTTGTTTTACCTAACATTCACAACTACACTTCTTTAGCCACTGTGTGAAGTGAGCAGATGAACACATTGATAAAAGCCCTGGTTGTGGTTTTTGGGTCTGAGTGGACAGGACAAAGAGAATAGTGAATAGGAAGTGAATGAGAGGTGTTGGGGACTCAATTTCCCAATATAAAGTTCAGTGTAACGTGTTACTAACATCCAGCAGTATGTTGCTTATCTTGTCTGCTGCATGAACAGAGGAGGCAGAATATGTAAACTACGGAATATCAGAATGAGTTGTTTATGATCATGTGTATATGCAGTTAAGTGTACAGCACAATGACATGTCCTGCACTGCCTTGTCACTGTCTGTAACTGACTACCTTTATTTCCCTGTTCCCGTCTGTACCAAGTTGCAGACATGCTCTCCAAACAGGATTTTGGAAGTCTTAAGCTTACAAGTTCAAACTTCCTTATCGTCAGCCTTCTGAACAGTGGTCTTCATGTTAAAGTTTTCATTTATTAATTATACTTCTCTCTTCAATTCTCTTCAGCAAAGTCCTGATGAGCCTTTGCGGAGCAGAAAAGTGTTTGTTGGGCGCTGCACTGAGGACATGACAGCAGATGAACTCCAGCAGTTCTTTGCTCAGTATGGAGAAGTGGTAGATGTCTTCATTCCTAAACCTTTCCGAGCTTTTGCTTTTGTTACATTTGCAGATGATCAGGTACGTGTTCAAGTATTTTAACCTCATGTTTAGACAGCCTGTGTTTCAGTAGCTCGGTGACCCTTAGGGTCCCTTCAGTGGTGTTGGCCTGGCTGAGGTTAGGTTACTCAGTGCAGCAGTGCATACTGTTTTGTACTGCAGTTAGTTCTGTAGCAAACGTGAAGATAGAACACCTCAAATATACACATGTGCTTCTTTTGCAGGTTAAATAAGTATCTGCTTAGGATCACACGGGCTTATTTTGTCTTGTACTACTAAATGTTCTTCTTAAAAAAATATAATAGCCTACATTTAACTAATCCCTTATTTTTTGTAGGTTGCCCAGTCTCTTTGTGGAGAGGACTTGATCATTAAAGGAATCAGCGTACATATATCCAATGCTGAACCTAAGCACAATAGCAATAGGCAGTTAGAGAGAGGTGGAAGATTTGGTGGTAATCCAGGAGGCTTTGGGAATCAGGGGGGGTTTGGCAACAGCAGAGGAGGTGGGGGAGGACTGGGTAACAACCAGGGCAGTAACATGGGTGGTGGCATGAACTTCGGAGCCTTTAGTATCAACCCTGCCATGATGGCAGCAGCACAGGCAGCCCTGCAGAGCAGCTGGGGGATGATGGGCATGCTGGCTAGCCAGCAGAACCAGTCAGGGCCGTCGGGAAACAACCAGCCCCAAGGCAACATGCAGCGGGAACAGAATCAGGGCTTTAGCTCAGGAAATAACTCTTACGGTGGTTCCAACTCGGGAGCAGCAATAGGCTGGGGCTCAGCTTCCAACGCGGGTTCCAGCAGTGGGTTTAACGGAGGCTTTGGTTCAAGCATGGATTCCAAATCATCAGGCTGGGGAATGTAGACGCAGTGGGCTCTCATACTGACTCTTTGGTGGGAAATCAAATTTTTCTAACGCGTGGTAAGTATACTGTAAATTACATATAAATTTTTTCCAAATCAGTTTGTTCAATGTGCGGTATATTCAGCAGTATTTTTGATGTCTTTCTTTTGTAAAAAACAAACAAACAAAAAAAAAAAAGGAAGAGGAAGAAAGGTAAAAGGAATTTTATAAGTTTTGTTACGTAACTTGTTGGAATACTGAATGTTTGGAAGTGGACTGCTGTTTGCCTGATGGGTAAACTAACACTACAATCAATAGGAAAGGGTTCTCTTGTAGTACTTTACCCCTTGTTTCCTGGCTACCTGAATTCTTTGCATGTTCAAAATGGAAACCATTGGTCAGAAACAGCATTCTCTCCCTCTCGTTTTTAATTTGATCCCACCATAAGAATCTCCAAGTCCCCAACTGGAGAACTCAGTGTTGTTTTTCTGTTTTGTTTGGTTTTTTTTTGTTGTTGTTTTTCTTTTTTAACACTGTCTCCCCTCCATACTAAAGTACGATATGAAGGCTTCATTTAATCTCCGCAGTTCATCTCATTTCAAATGTGTATGGAAGAAGCACTTCATTGAAAGCAGTGCTGTAAATATTCTGCCTTAGGAATACTTCTGTCTACATGCTTTCTCATCCAAGAATACTTCATCACACTGCACATGCTGCGTCTTAGACGGTGGGTGTTCCATTTTTATCCGCTACTCTTTATTTCATGGAGTCGTATCAACGCTATGAACGCAAGGCTGTGAGATGGAACCAGAAGGCTGTTTGAACTTTTGAAACCTTGTGTGGGATTGATGGTGGTGCCGAGGCATGAGAGGGCTGGTATGAGCGAGAAAAAAGAGAGCGCATGCAGAGACCTGGTGGTGCATTATGGGATTTTATTTTACTTGGCGAGATGTCTCTCAATCCTGTGGCTTTGGTGAGAGAGTGTGCAGAGAGCAATGATAGCAAATAAAGTACGAGTGTTTATTGCATTCAAAGGACATCCATATGTGGAAGACTTTAAGTGGGTTTTATACCTAGTTAATCAATTAGCTGAATGTGTTTATGTGAAAAGAATATTTGTATTTTTTTTCCCTTATGTCAACTGCTGTGAATGCTGTATGGTGTGTGTTGTTTTTTTTTTCTGTTAATGATCTGTAAGTGTGGCAATGTGAATTGAAGATGGTGGGGTTTGCGATGAGAACATTGAGCTTGTGATGCGCTTGGCAGTAGCTCTTGCAGCACATCACTGGTGAGCTCAGTGTGCCTCCTGAGGGTGGAAGCTCTGCTGTGTAAGATACCTTAAGAATGCTGTTTGCTGCAGTTCCGTGTTTGGATGCTTTTTATAAGATTTGTCACTGTAGGAAATTCTTAAATAAAACTGATTTAAGTAATATGTGTCTTTGTTTTACAGCCCTGAATGCAAAGAATTCATAGCAGTTAATTAATTTTACCCTTTTGAGATGAACTTCTGTAAAGTTTTGTTTGCAGCAATTCAGTTTGTTTCAGATAAGCATGCTCTAAAAGTTGGCAAGTCAAATGGAGCCACCACGTATCGCTACCTGACACCCAACTTAACCCACTGCATTTTTGCATTGTTCAGTGATACGTAGATATTTAAAATCCAGTTCCCACAAGTTTGGGTATCCGCACCTAGAATGGTAAGCTGTTCCCTCCACTTTGCATCTGTACCAAGGAAAGTTACTTCTATTTTTAGGAGTAGGGGCTCTTATCAGAAGTGTGGTGGAGAGGAAACAAACACTGTCAGATGTACTGACATCCACAGTACCTCCTGTGGGGATGTATTTTTAGAGCAGTCCACCAGTGGGAAGTAGGACTCTGTGACACTTCTAGCTCAGAAGATGACTATAAACTCAAAATTAGTCACAGAAAAGACTTTCTAGCTAAATAAAGCATTAGTAAATGTACATAAGTTTGACAGAAGTCTTACCTGAAAAAAATGGATTTACTGCAAGTGCAGAGGGCCAAATAAAAGGCAGCTTCTTAACAAAGAGCAGGATCTTTCAGTGCGAACTGCTGGAAGATTATTTCCTCTGCTGGTAGGAACCTGAAGGGTTGTTGAAGCTATTTGCACTTGGATCAAGCTTTAGTGGTTTACATGTTTTTACACAATGTACCACTATGCTGTACCTACACATCTTCGGAGTGTGGATGTTAACACAGTTTGAAATAGATTTTTTTTTTTTAATTAGAACTCAATTACTGAGTATCAATGCTTGTGAATAGAAGACCATCTGAACAGCTGCACTACTGTTAGTTTTCCATTTTAACTGCAATACTAAATCAGCTGGGTCTCAATGTATACCTTAAGTGCTTTGAAGAAGGGTTGCAAAAAACAGGCTGAAAACTAATGCTTGTTCATTTCCCACTGCAAAAAGTTGCTTAAATCTTTTTTTCTGCACCTAAGTCAGAATAATATCCAAACTCTGTACCATTGTGAATTTTGCATTTTAGCCCTTGCACTATTACCAGCTACTTCTGCTGAGTAACACTTAAAAATGGTATTCTTGGACCTCCAAAGACTAACTGTGACATCCCTGCAAGGAACTTTATGGTAAGTTTTTGTGATTAGCATGGCTTTATTTTTTTTTTTTTTAATTATCTTAAGCCCAGGTTTAGGCTTTAAGAGGTGGGTTGGCGGTACTGAGTTGTCCCCTGATAATTTCAGATTTTCCTGACCCTCAAACAAAATCCTTGAAGGTTTTTGAAGAGTTTTCAAGTTTTAGTGATAATTTCTAACTGCTTTGCATACTCTAGTGTTTATAAGTGAGTAAATAAAATACTATTTATTACATATTTAAGTGTTCAGTCTTTTTTTTTTTAGAAGACTTCAGGATTTCACTTTCTAGAATAACTGAACTAAGAAGAGAATGTGAGATAAAAGAGGCAGTATCTTTACATTATCAGAAAAGGATATACCATTTGGGCATGCTTGGTAAAAACCAGTTACTGAAGAAAATGTATAACTCTACTCCCAAGTAGTTCTTAACTGTACTGATATGTATTTTATATATTTGAATGTGAAAGCTTGTTCTGTTACAAAGCTGTATTTCAGAGAAATGGTTTTTGCAGCTGACAGCATGAAGGCCTTTAAGGTTATGGTTATGCAGCTGTGCATGTACTTCAGTACAGCAGTAACCTAGGGAGCCTGAGAGGTTTCTTTGTATGTGTGCTCCCCACGTATGTAGAGCTACTGGGACTCTTCAACTACCCATACACTACACATGGTTCAAGGTACCTTGATGCTGCTCTGCCTGCTTTCTCTGGACGTGTTCATTCAGGCACTAGCTGGTAATGCTGCAGTCCTACAAGAATCCACAAAGCTATTTAAAAGAAAACAAAATAGATTTTATTAACTGAGTTTTTAAAGAGTAATTAAAAGTCTCAAGTTTATTTAAATTTACAAAATTGTCATACACTTAATGGTCTTTTAACAATTTCTGGGACAAAACAAAAATGAAAATTGATGCTCAAGTGGTTGTTTTTTTCTTTTTTTTTTATAAAGAAAAGGAACAGTTAAGCCTAATAATAAATATGCAGGATTTTGTGTTGTTTTTGAAGTATTTAAATAGTCTAGCCAGTACTGTAATCCAAGAACCAGTGAAAAGCTGGTAGGAATTGGCAATAAAAATCTACTAAGAATTATTTGTAATGGTGCTTTCAATCCAAGGCATATAGCTCGTTACTCTTGTATAGACCCCATACTGCCCTGCCACGGCGCAGTCTAAAGCCCAGGACACAATACCAATAAGAAACCACTTTCTGGTCTGAACATCCAAGAGCACGAGCGGCCCTCCGCTGTCCCCATGGCAGGCATCTCTGCCCCCTTCCTCAGCTCCAGCACACAGCATGTTTTCAGTTACCACAAGAGGGTTGCCATTGTGTGATTTATTTGCATATGCATCCGTACACTCTTTCTGGTTGATAATCATCAGTTCAGTGTACAGCAGTACCACAGAAGAGCTCCTGGTCTCAGTTCTTCCCCAACCCGATACAGTTACTGTGTCATTGGCTTTCATTTGAAATCTTTCTTCTTTTCCAGGTAAACAAATGGGTGAGATAGTGGTACTCACTGGGACTTTATGTTCCAATTTAATCAATGCAATATCATTGTCAAAATTGACAAGATCATTTTTGTAACCTTCATGAATAAAAATTTTTTCTGCCTGAACTTCCTCATAGTGAACTGAATATTTGTTCAAAATCCCCAATTTAATCTTTAAAGTTGAGGGATTCCTTTGCTCAGCTACAACATGAGCAGCTGTTAAAACCCAGCTGTCATACAAAAGTGAACCACCTCCCAATTCTCCATGCTCAGTAATTAACATCACTTGCCATGGAAATTGTCCAGGGTTGGCTCTCCTTCCTCCATAAATACGTTCTACAGCCCCAGTTCTTTGCATCCCACAAACTGTAAAACAATGAACGCAGCAATAATGTTAATGTTTTAACATTTGGACACTGATTTATTACTCTGGTATGAGTAAAATTAAGTTAATGATTCTAAATGTAATTCCGAGATTACTTTGAATGGTAGAATTGCTTCCAAATGAATATTTGATTTAGCATACACTTTTCATTAGTCAGTACAACATACTGCTTTTGGAAAAGTTCTGTAATCAAGAGATACTGTTTTGCTGAAGAATTTGGGCATAGAGAACTAAGTGCATTTGTGCTGAATATAAATTAAGGTAATTGGAATATATGGACATTCTAATCTAAAAGATAAGAGGAACAATTAGGCTTTTAGATTGTAAAATGTTTCTCCCAAAAGTCATTCTTTGATCTTGAGTAATTTTACAGTGTAATTTAACAGTTTGAACATTAAAAAAAAAAAAAAACAGTGGCTTTTTTCTCTCTCAGATACTTCTGGAGAGTGCTTCAATTTTCCTGTCAGAAGCGATTCCAAGCAATTTACAGGCAACAAGAGTTTAGTTAGCCATGAAACTGCAGGGAGCTGGAATAAATTGAAGGTTCAGCTTTTCACTCTCTTCAAGGGAACTGAACTACTGAGTTGATGGCATTAATCTCCAAAGCTAGCAGCAATAGAGAGCCTCAGATTAGACCAAGACTTCTAAAAAATAGTTGTCTCTGTACCAACAGCAGTGAGTACTAGCTGGCAGTTTGTTAATGATTCTTCCATAACCACTAATTGCAGCAACTTTAGTAATCCCTGCGTTACCTGGTTCACAGACAGGCAGTGTTATTTCTCCCTTGGTGTTCTTCCAAAATCCATCATCACTGCCTATATATTTACCTGCAGCTCATAGAGACAATAAAAACGGGAACAAGTGAGCAGAAGAGATGCACACAGTTCTCATGAGTCCTGACACCTGGAAAGCATCGTCACAGTGTAGGGCTCCTCCACTGTTTACTGCACTTATGAGAAGTATCACCTCCCCTCTGGCTGTTTGCAGGATCAAACACTACTGCAGCCTTTGCTATCACACAGGCATGTAATAATGCTAACTGGAGAATGGTAAGAATGGGTTAAGCCTACAACTGATCATGAATTTAGTCTGCCTGGGAACATTTCAACATGCTTAGGTAAAAGACCTTAAAAATACAGCACAGATGACAGCCGTGTTTTGGAAAGAGAAGTTCCTTGACCTCTATGCAATGTTTATGACCTACCACTGCTGTTAGCTCTCATGGTGTAGAAGGGGGCTGCACACTGGTACTGAATGGCAGCACTGTAGGTTGTCTTCTCAGGCCCTGTGAGGTACATAATGGCACCGCTGTCTATGTCCTCAGGCTGGCCGCAGTCAACAACTAAAGCAGTACAAAAGATGTAAGTATTAAATACTAAAAGCCAGTGGGTTCAGTGTCAACCTAACCACGCTTCCTTTTCAATATATAACCACCAGTGCCTTTTAGAGATTTTAAAGAATGGCAGAAACTGAAAAATCTTTCAACTTGCAAAAACTAAACGTACTTTGACAAGAAAGGGAATGGTTAGCAAGCATAAGAAACTGCTTCTCATACTGCCACACCTATCGTTCTCTTTATAAAACCTGTCTTGTATAAACAAATAATGACACAAATTTCCCAGTTCACAAATATTAACACAGACTTACTGATGCACTTCGCCATGGGTTTGTTCCAAGAAGCATTCTTTTGACATTCTGCTACAAAAGACATCACAACATTCTCATTCTCCAAGAAACATAGATAGAAATAAAAGGTCATATTAATTTCACATCAAATTAAGAGGGTTAATTACATAAAAGCAGCACCAGCTACACATTTATTTGCTCATTCAAAAAGAAAAAAACAGTAATTAGATTTTTATTTGCTTAAAATCTCTCTACTAGAAATACTGCTTTAAACGTATATAATTCCTATACTGCCACTATTAATCTCTTCAGTGTGTCAGGGAACAGCTGATGATGTGAGGGACAGCTTACCCTACCTACAAACACGAGACTAATTTGTGTCTACTGTAGGTAGCAGTTCTACCATTCACAGCTGCCTGCTCTCTACTATGGACATGCAGTGCCGCTCAGTGCATCCATCTATTTACGCACCACTTCCTCTTGAACACCACCCCTCACATCAATTTTGTTATTCTCAGTTTCTACATAAACAGTAAATGTGTCCAACTACTAAATTAGACAGAATATAAAATAATTACTGAGAAGAATCTGCGTGCTTTGCTAAAACTCAGACACTTAACCATGAAGTTTTGCTGTGTGCATATGCAGCCTAGAACAGCTTTTCTGCTAGGAAGTAGGGTGCTGTTAAGGACTAAGTGTGAAATGCTGTGTTCAGTGGGAATGACCAAGTTACTAGCTGTAACTTCCCAAAAGAGGTGCAATAACAAATGAAAGAAAATAAATTCTCACTTACTTCCTGAAATCTTTTATAAAATTATTCATTCTTCCAGCATAATTATAAGCTAATCTCCAGTGTTCAAAGAACATCAGCCTGTACACAGGCATAAAAGAAACAGTCCTTTGGGAAGGGTAACAGGGACAACTGCTAACAAATGCAGCGTGCTGAACATATCTCAGAATTGTTGTATGTGAGCAACAGAAACTATTAATGAGAAAAGGCACCCACGTTTAACCCCTGTGAAATTAATCCCACTAAGGCTGACAATGCCATGGTTCACCTACTTCAAGTAGCACGTATCCAACGTCACAAGAGAGCGCATAGTGGTCACCCGCGGTGTACTGTGCTTGCACTGGTGCGATGCGGCCATAGGGTGGTGCTTCAGGACTGGGGCACGGCAAACCTGCCACCAGAATGACGAGAAACTGCCCTTAAAGTGACTTTGCTATTTACTGCTGAAGGCTCTTAAGGAAAAAAATATTATATATATATAATATATAAGATTAATGCACCTCTCAACCTTTTCTCTACACTGTTTCACTTACACAGATCTACAGCTACTGAGAACAGAAAGAAGAACTGTGGACTGACACCAAAGGTGTGCAGTGGCCAGCACAGAGCCAGGCTATGCTGGCAGGATTCACCCAGAGCATCTGCTGCCTAAACACACACCCCACCTCTTGTCCAGGTGGAAAATTCATTCCCTAAAATAACATCTTATACCATATCTAAAGGTTAACTGTAAGGCTAGCACAAACCCTGGAATTCTCTCAAAACTCATTTTCAGAAGGAACTACTGGTAACTACATTCAATAAGATAGAAATTCAAGGGTGAAATTACTGTTTCAATAGCACTATTTGAGTGCTATTCAGGCCTTTCCAGAATTAAATTCTGGGAACAGTCTGGATTTGAGAACGGGATAGTGGTCTACCCACCTGCTGCTGTGTATTTCACCTTCCATCCAGTGTGTGCTCCTGACATGTCAGTTATGAAAGTAATAGTTACAACATTAGTCTGTGTCTCAATTTTCGCAGGCAAAGTCTTCCCACAGAATGGGCCAAACTGCTTTTTGTGTGTTTCAATCTGAAAAGAAGGCAGAAAAACAATAACAAAACAAAAAAAAATCCCCACCTCTATATTTACACCTCCTCCCATGAGGCTTATAGAAGAACAAACTAATTTTAATCCAGTGATTCCTTGAACTTGCGTGGCCCTTTCTTGCAAAGCATACAAAGGAAAGGCAGGGAGTACTGCAGTACCTCAGAGGGCCTTTTCTCCAAGCATCCTAACTGCTATGGAATTCCTGGGAAGTGATCACTGGGTCCGTTTATAGAAAAGCAAAGAGAATGGAAAAGACTTATCTGAGCCCCCTGGTACCACTGGGATACAGGCAAAGCTTGTGATCCTCTGAAATCTTTCAGGTCATTACACGTGTGTTTGTATTTGCTCTTTGGGTGAATTTCCCAAAGGAGAAAGGTGCTGAAAGAACGCAACAACAAAACTGAGGGGATGGGAAGAAGAAATGAGTGAGGAAAGACACAGGGACACAAAATGAATGTGGCAAGACAGGCTGAGGAAGATGCAGAAAAAGAACCAGGTGTGTCTCAAAGGCTGTGAGGGAGCCCCACCTTACCTTGAGTACATCATAGGGGCACAGCACCTCAGGGTGCGTCTCCACATTAAAGGTCTCCACGAATTCCAGTGTGATCAGAAAGCCATCTTCTACCTGGATACTGTAGCTGCAGGTGCTGAGTGGGGGATAAGGTGCTGGATAGTCAGGGCTGGCAATTTCTCCAGTTCTTTGAGTAAAAACTTGATTCTGACACTGGGCTAGAAAAAGTAATGGAAAATGATCGCGTTTATATTAATTCAGTCCAGCCACACTGGGTAACTGCTGTGCATTTTTCCTACACTTGTCACTTAAAGTTTCAGAGCCACAATTTAATGACCTCTGAAGTGAAGCAACAGTCACACATTCTACCAGCAAGCACCTGTGATGGCTGAGAAAGCTGTGTTCTCCCTGCTCGGGTAGGGCTGCAGCACCAGCACTATCAGCACTGCCACCTCAGAAGCGGTGCGGGGGAGGACACCAACAAAAGCACTGCTTGGGTGGGCACAGGGCTGGTGCTCAGAAATGACTGCGATAGCTGGAAGCTCAAAACGTTCCAAGGTGTTAAACATGCAGCTTGTCTCCTGCACCAGAGCGTGCAGAGCCCTAGGACAGCTATCAGCACCTCAGTTCCAGAGACCTCTGAATGAAGCTCTTTCTTTTTAATGCCTTTGCTGCCAGACGTTTAGAATGTAATTGTATTCTCTGAGCAAAACCAGCTGTGCCTCTTGCAGACACAATTGGAGCCACAAATGCTCCCTGCCGCAGCAAGGAGGAACAGCCACAAGTGCCCTGAGGATCTCTGCTTGTTGACAGCATCTGATCGCTGTGAAGTGGTGCTTTGATCAGCTGGGAACAAAGCCTTTATGACGCGCTGCAAAAGCTGTATGAGCAATCCTTTAGCTGATGAGGAACGCTGCACTGGTTGATAATACTGGAATATTTTTGCAACACTGTGATGCTGAATTAATTCTAAGAGGAAAATCGCTTGAATTGTATGCTCAGATATACTATGCAAGCCTCCCCCAACAAAAATAAAATAAAATAAAAAGCCATTATCCAGTCACTATTTACAGACCGTCATCTGAAGTAAGCCATCTGATTTAAGGTTGTAATTTTAATGGAAAAGGACTAAATTTTGAATGCAAAAACGAACATCAGTGTCTCTTAACTAACTGTGGATGTCATTAGCCAGGATTCTAAGCCTTTTTACTTTGGACAATGAAACCTGCTTCCTCCCTGCACCTGAGCAACAGCGTTCCTTACTACTGCAGGAAGCATTTGGATGTAAGTGATCACTTGGAAAGTGGGAATGTGTAAAAAAGTTCTCTTTTTGTTTTACATTTGTGTGTACTTAGCACAACTACAATATCATAACACAAGTAATGTTGCATATGGGTACCCCCGTGTGTTTGTTTTAGCACGAGCAATAATTTCCTGCAAGAGAATCTATCTTTACCAGTTTGAGTCTGCTCCCTTACACAGCAGATCCCACACTCAGGGAAAAATGGCTTTGTAGGCAATGGGAAAGGACTCTGATGCAGAACTAACAGCAGAGTTCAGATTTTAGCTTCCCAATGATTTCAGTTGGATGTTAGGGGCATAAAGAAACAAACAGTATTTCTCTGTCCATCATCCCTGGAATTTATGTGCAGCTGCTCATATTTGACATAAACCTATCCATCACCACAGTGACCGTCTGTGTGAGCTCTGCTCTGAATTCATTGTCTTATGATTTCAAACAAAACTTATCAAGGCACAGAGTAAACTAGTCAATAAATACAAATAAAGGCTTATCCTGCATAAACCAAGCACTCTCGTTATTAAATCCTGACTGAAATGCCCCTCTTGGTCCAAAGAAACACAGAGAGCTCGACTAATGCACACAGAGGTTCAGGCTGCTCTGAACCCAGCCTAACAGCACACTGCTCTGCACCAGCAGATATCAGCTGAGCTACAATGGGAATTAAATCTTTTCCTTTCATGCTGTACTTGTAGAGGATTATCAGCAGGTTTTATTTTTTTTTCCCTTCATGCACATTTCTGTAATTCACTGATTCTGCCTCAAACTACAGAAGCATTTGATGGTTGTATGAGAATAAATCATGTTTTCCAGCACACTCTCCTGAGCTGCTGCAGGTGCTGCTTACAGTACTGCCAGTGACACAAAGCATCTCTTCCCAGGCATCAGGTCCTGCTGCAAGCCCAGGTTAAGAAGCACCCCAAAACCTACCTGATATGCAACTTCAGCAGCTGACAGCTGACAGCCATCTCAGTGGAAAAAAATCTATTCTTCTTAAAAACTGACATCTCCTCATGTTGATAGTATCTGTCCCTGTTCTACAGCCTCAAGAGGAGTCTAGAGGCAATGATAGGAAGAGAAAGGAATAAAAGAATAAAATCCTTCAGTGTGAAAAAAGACTCAGTGCGAAGTCTTATCCTACACACACGTGTCAGAACATAACAAGTACTATCCTTACACCCCTAATGCCCTAAGGAAATCATTAGAAAGGAAAAACCTGAAATCTAATACTAATTCCACATCAGAATCCTTCCCTACCTACAAACCCTTCCTTACCTACAAAACCATTTTTTTTTTCTTCAGCATGAATGGGATCGACTGTGTAAAAAAGAGGTACACAGGTTGGTGAAGTTAGATCCCCTTACATGAAGCTCAAAGCTAGAAGGCAACATCACCTGGCTTCTATTTACAGGAACGACCAATAATTTTCTTTCCCTAGAGGACACTTGAAGGAATATTATTAGGCAAAAGCTCTTCATAAAAACATGAGAAGAGGACATTGTTTGGTAACACGTACACATACATACATGTATGTAGAGATAGAAAAACACTACGTACAACTATCCAGTACAGTTTCCAAAGGTGGTTTTACCTCCTCTAGTAATAAAAGATGCAAAGGGACATATAATGAAATAAAAAGAAATAATAATACAAAACTGGTAATTCTTCATGCTTTACTGTATCTTTCTTCTTTACCTTCAGATTCCTAATTTTGATGGGGGATATTCACCATATGGTTTGGAAAACGTGTAGTCATCACCAATAAACTCTTGATTTCACATGGCCAAAACTAGCTGACCCAACAGAAGATACTCTGTGCTAGTCAAAGGAAATTTGCAGCCTGAAGATGAAGAAACCTAGACTGGACCTTACTTTTCTCGTTACCTCCTCAATGCAGCTGCTGGGAGTTCCCTATGTCAGGGCAATATCTTTTTATCCATCAGTCTGCAAGGAGGAAAGTCATAAACTATTCAGCACAAAAAGGATCAAATAATTTCTGAATATCTCCCAACAGAAATACTGTTCCTTGACTTCTCAGTCTATGCTTTAGAGATGTCCAGAGAGTGCTCAATTATGCTCAGGCTATATTTTATTAGAACTGCAGTGAGCTGTTTGCCAAAGGCTTCATTCTGAAAAATGACCCCTCAAAATTTGCAAGTCCATTGTCACTGGCTTATTAGGTATCTCAAGGAATGTGGATCATAAATTGTACCACTGAACCATGACAAAAACTCAAGCTGCTCTGGTCACAAATTCATTGTGATCATAAAGCAGCTTCTGAACAAAATTAAGCACAGAGAAGTAAGTCCTGGTAATCAGTTGCACAACTCTAACCCCACATCAGCCTCCTGCAGCATCTCTCTCCCAGCTATTCACCTGGGCTGCTCAGCTCTGCCATGATCAGCTCTCACTTGAGATTATCACCGTTCCCTCCACAGAACTGGGGAACTGTAGTGTTTGACAAAGAAGCAAGCATGACATTCCTCCAACGTGCTGCAGGAAAACAGCCCCTGCCCAAAGATAGTATGGTCAAAAGGAAATGAGACAGAACCTATCAGTGCCACAATGCCTTTGCAATGCACCTATTTTGGTCAGGGCACTGCCGACTTCACAAGTTCTCTCCGAAGCTGCCCTGGTGACATTCCCAGCATTTTACTAAATTCCTGTAACTCTGAGGCTTTGTTCACCAGAATAAACTTCAGCAATAAGACTGGGTTCACAACAGAGATATGGCCAGAGGCCTTCTTTTAGCCTCCATTATATTCTTCCTTCTTTCACTAGTGACACACAGGAAATGCAGGAAAATGAATGCCCACAGGATGCCACGAGCTTTCAACAAGTAATGGCCTCTTTATTGGCTGGAAGAAGAAGGTCTGAGAGGCAAGGAAATAAGAGAAGCCTGCAGCCCCCTTGGTTGGACAGCAACAGGAAGGCCACAGGGGAGGGCAAACCAGCTTTTTCCAGCACATCTGTATCCATCTCTGCCTAAGCGAGGAGAAGCTTAATTATTTCACGCTGGAAAATAAAGGAGAAAAAAAAAAAATAGCCTGTCAATATCAGAGCACTCAGGCAGGGATCAAAATCAAAGGGACAGCTTTTGCCTTCATCTCTTAAGGACGATCTGCAGAGACCTTTGCTTTGCAGCCTAGCCCAGGGGTTGGAACTTTCATCTGAAGGCCCCCCCGAAATGTGAACAAGTTCCAACTCATCAGCTGTGCCATAGTAATTCCCAATGTGCATGGCTCCACCTCTCAGTAGCATGGTAGCCCAGCCCTTCCATATCACCAATACATTTCTGTTACAATCCATCACTTTAGGAAAGAGAGGGTGAACAATGAACAGGTCTGTTTAATGCACTGAAGACATGAAGAGTTTGAATTCTGCATCAGATCCAGACAGTCATGGTGGGAGAAGGGTTGTAATGGGGTAAATATTAGTTAAGCACTGTAAGTTACAGCCAGGTCTGATTTTCAGCACTGGGAAGCACAAACTGACAATTTTTATGAGTGCTGTATGCTGCTTCTTTTCAGACAGGATTCAGCTCCAAGTGGGCAAAGTTGCATTCACAGAGGATTAATCTGATAGCATGTGTAGGCACACAATTCACTGCAGACAAAGTGAATCCTGAGGAGCTGATCACTGCGCTGATTCAGACAGACTTTCCTGCCTACCAAATGATAAGCTTTCCCCAGCTGTGCACTGAACAACACAGCCAGGCAGGAGTCAGCTGGATAAACCTCATGCTGTATAACCTTCTGAAAAAGAGACTTGTACTTGGCCTTGTCTTTTATTTAATGAGCAGATGATTGTATCTGGTGTCAGTGATAAGCAGACTGCACTGCTCCTCAGCCTGGGTCCCTCCGGGGACAGTGAGCAAAATCTTTCTCCATTAGACTCGGCAATCTGATTGCTAAGTTTTTTCAGCACATCTACTAACTCAGGTCCAGAACACTCAGTCCCTCAGTACCCAGATAGCATGATATACTCAGTGCTGCAAGGCTGGCTGCACTGGCAGCCATAAAGTTTGGAAGTGTCTGTGGTGGGCAGCAGACAAGAATTTCTTGCTTCTCTGTTCAGCCTGTCTAAAGCTGAACACAGGTGCATGCTGACTAAGAAGTAGCCAAAAAATGTTACCTTCACACTCTGACAGCCACTGGCTTCTCTTCTGCACCTGAAAACTGCCAAAGCACCATTTCACTATGACAGAGAGTTGATGGTCCTCACGGCTGCCATTAGCCCACAGCAAACCACAGTCTCTGCTCACAGCCCAAGCCCCTACAGCTCCTTCCTGCACCAGGCCCATAGGGGACATTAAAAGCAACAACAGTAAAAGGCTGCTTTGATTTTGATGCTAGTGTTGTGACTAAGTTTAGGCAAATGCTGTAGACAGGAAAGTATCTCTTGATCTGCCAGAACTCACCTGTGCACGTCCTCTTGTTTTCATGCAGTATATAGCCAATCCGACAGCTGCAATAGTAGCCCCCCACATAGTTGTGACAGTAATGATTGCAGAGGGGCTCACCATCAAACAGTTGTTTGCACTCATCGATATCTAATGGGTGAAGCATAGAAGAATTAGGCAATCAACTTTGTTTCACTTTAAGCAACATCTCCATACAAGACTGCCTTCTCTCACCTAACACAAGAGCCACAGTGTGTGTGAGCACATGGAAGCACCAACCCCACCACAGCAGTTTCTCTTCCACCTACAAGAGGGGCTGGTCTCTTACCTTCAGCAGCATAGAAGGCCTCAAAGCCCGTGAACGGCTTCTCATTGGAGTAGTCAGATCGAAATACAACCATGAGGTTGTTGTCAATAGAGATGTATGTTTTGTTGCCTGGAGCCTCCTCAGTGTCAGTACTATCCCGCCCGCACAGAGTAGCCAAGGTCTTCCCACTGGAGCTTAGCTGCAAAACAGACAAATTTACCAGATGATCACAGAGCTTTGCTGCCATGCATTGGAGAGCATGTGCTTAATGGAATGTGAAAGGAGGTTCAAGACATTTCTAGACTTGGATATTCTCAAAAGGTGCTTCTGGAAATTAATCTAGATACAGTGACACACAAGGACTTTCCTTGTTCTCTGTGAATTAAGCCTATGTGTTTCTCCCCCTTTTCTTTTCAGAGGCCTCTCTGAAAAGCTGTGAAGCCAGCCTGGGCTACCAGCACCATGCTTTGCTTATTGTACATAAAGTTCTTGTTAACTTCACACTTTCAGTGACAGTGAAATATCTGTGCACAGGAGACCTAAGTGAGGACAAAGTTAGAGATAACTGGGGTAAAAAGGTTTCATACACTGATAGATTCAAACATGTAACAAAAGGTCTCTTTAAATTAATGACTCATGTGCTCTATGATTCACTTATTACAGTCTGAGCTCTTCATTTATCTCGTGTTTGTAACACAAGACAAATGTTCTGATACACGGGTCATGGTAATGACAAAATTGCATACACTACAGATGATCAGAAATGGGTACTCTGTCCTGCCCAAAGAAAACCACAGCAAGAACACGGGAATGGGAGCAACTTGTCATATTAAACTATGGAAATGAGATCTTCCAAAACAGTATTAAGTCTACCTGATTTGATTCCATCAGATGCTAAAGTACTGTCAGTACATCACCTTTGCAAGCTTTCCGTGTATACAGCTCCCTCATTGATGTGACCAGGTCTATCCAAACAACAAACTGAGGCAGTGGTAGGATGGCCTTAAATGAGCAACAGGGCTGCCTAGGCTAAAGCACACAGAGCACAAACATTTCAGGGATAGTGTTCACCATCAAGCACTTCCCAAAGCCAGTATCTCTTTTTCCTGACATCGTTTCTCACCATTAGCTAGCAAAAGCAGACAGCAAGGGTTGCAAATGCACGTTTGGACAAGCTGATGGTATCTTGTTTAGACTATCACTTACACCTTTGCAGTCTCCCATTATTCCTGTGTAAAGCACTACACGTTAATTTAAAGCATACAGTGGAACTTTAGAAAAATGAAACTCAAACATTGTCCTGGGCAACATCTCAAACTTTTTGCTTCACAAGAGGGGAATTTCAGAATTTTTTGAGCACAATACCCCCAAGTTTTAAATGTTTTAATGTGACAATCACAGTCACACAGGTCTCCATAAACACATCATTTATAAATCAACTGAGCCTGAACTTCACTAGCGTACTAGAAGCAACTGCTTACAACAGTTCTGTTGGTCCTGCACATGGCCAGGATCACACATACACAGTTTTAAAGAATGCAGCAGACCACACATCGACCTGCCCTACACACATACCTTCACATAATCGTATTCACACTGGTAGGACAGCTCCAGGTTGAAGTGGGTGAAGTAGATGCGGACAGCATATCCTTTGGGGACAGTAACATTCCATGTTCTCTCCTTGTGATTTGGGTAGGTATTGGGGAAGTTAGGAGATGTGATCCTCCCATACATTTTCTGCAGCACAACGCTGCTGTTTACTCCACCACAAAGCACAGCTAGCAAGAGAAGCAGCCTGCCTCAAAGAAACAGATGAGCAGACATTGAGCGTCAACTCAATCACACCCCAAACACCACACATCCAAGGTGCTCATCTTGGTACCAGATCACAGATATCCCAGCACTAGATGAAATCTTTATGCCTGGACACCCTTCTCACTTGGTAATAGAAGAAATCACACTACAGCAACAGCAAGACAAGATAAGACTCACACTCATGCCTTCTTAGGCCTATCCAGAGCCAGGTGGCCAGAGGAGCCGGGCAGGTTGCTGTGACAGCACTCACCTCATCCTGCTGCTCTCCTGCCTGAGCCTGCTCTGCTCAGAGCCCTGGGGGCAGGAACCTCATCTGATGTTTTTGCATTTCGGGGTGGATGTATTTATTGTGTGCGCTCTGCTGTGTTTGTCTGGATGTTGAACTCTGATGTTTATCTTCCTTCCACCCGCCTCCAGCCTGCTGAGTTCTGGGAACAGCAATTACTGAAAACCGGGCTTACGTTCAGCACATGAGGCCCCACTCAGCAACAGGCAGAGGCAGACAGATCTGCTCCACACCTCATTTCTGTGTGTGGATGGCTTTTATCCTACCCACCCTAGAACATCAGCAAGGTAAAAAAAGTTTTTTGAACCTGGCTTGCTACAGAAACAAGAAAATGTGTTCTGTGCTCACATAGGCTAGGTTATGCAGCATAATTTCTACAAACTCTGACAGCAGAGAAACAGTTTCGGGGATATTAATGTAATGGAAACAGGTGGATGGAAAGAAAAATAATTTCCTATTACCAAGGAGTCTTGGAGGAGAACATTGCAAAATTAACTCAAACTTCTTTTAGGTATCTGGGAGTCTTCAGAGGAATTTTGCACTGTTACAACATCTAAATAAACCCTAACAAACCCCAAGGAATTCAACTGGTAGAGCCAGTAGTATATGACAAAAAGCTTTATTAATTCCACTGCTCACAGATACATTCCCCCAAAACCAGCATTCAGGTTTCCCATAGAACTTCTGTGCCAATGGATATGGGGGTAAGCACAAATAAGGGTGAAAAACCAGCACTGGCATCAGCAGGAACATGGATCTCAGCTCTCCCCAACAAAAATGGACAGAGAGCAGGGAAGCTAATTTGCAGCAGGGAACAGACTCCCACACTATGCATGCAGGCAATTTATACTGAGATATTGTGTAATTAAATGGACACCTTTTCATATCCATTTTCGAACAGCCAAAAAGCATTACCCCAGGCAGTGAATTTGGAGCTGGCAGGAAAGCAGGAGTTATTACACGAGCAAAACTAAAGCCAAGAAACCATCTAGCAGACTGCAATCAGAAAATGCCATTTAATAAGAGTGAAGGAGCAACCAGTAACAGTAATCAATTGAGTAACAGCAGTTGCCACAAGCATGGTTAATGGACAAAAACTCAGAGGGGATTAGCTTTTCCCAGGATCCACTAGTTTACACTTTCTGGAAAAGAAAGTTTTGCAAAAATCAGTACATTCCTAACTGAGCTGGTACCCAAATCCTACAGGCAAATACTTGCAGGGGTGTTTCCTACCAGGCTTCCTGCTCAGTTTAGTAACAGAGGCATGGGAAGTAAATTCTGATCTTAGGTAGGAAATGCTTCCCACAGTCTCAAATTTGATGGGGCCTCTAAAGCCAGAGGCTACCTAGCACTGAAACAAGAAATTTGACTTAAACTGTAATCCTGAAGACTGAAAAACTATGAATACCTGACATACACTGGCTTTCCTCCAGTGTGATCTTTAGAGAGAAAAGGCTGCTGTGATTTTAGTCCTCAGCACCTGACATGAACAATGCCAAAAACACTGTTTCTGTGCATCCTGTTTCTTTGCCTGGAACTCTTCCAGCTCCAAAAGGCTGCATCGGCTAGCCAGGTACAGCAGGATCCTGAGCACTGGGATGGCCACCTCAGGCCCTGCAGGTGCTCCTCCTGCCAACCATTTCCCTACTGTCTGAACAGGCCTAAGCCAGTCTGAAGGCTGAGCAGACTTCATCCATGTCACTGCAGTTTCCAGATGTCTGTGACTTGCAAAGTTACTGACCCACTTTAGGAAGCCTTGGTGTTATGTGAAATGACAGATGTCTCTGCCAAGTCTGCCCGGCTGTCTTCTTGAGCTCCTGTCTCTTTTCGTGCTTAAGGACTGAGGTAGTACAAATGCAAGCCATCATTTTCAGGAGAACCACCAGCACATGTGAAAGCTGAGGTTCAGAAAAGTCTATTTCTTGAAGAAAAATTCTTCTGTGGACTGGAGGAATGTGTAGTAACAAAAGATACAGATATGACCCCGTGCATGCCCATACTCTCCTTCAGTCCCTGTACTTCAGAATATGCTTTTACTACTGTTACCTTTGAGGTCTATAAAGGAGAGGTTTCAAATCCCTCCTGAGGCAATAGCAAATGCAGACAGCTGAGCCAGACACATGAATAAATCAGCAAGAGCAGAGCTCAGCCAACACAGTGTCCTTCAGGCTGACACCTCCATGGTCCACAGACCCAAACTCCCCACTCCCTGCAAAACAGACAGCAGCAGGAATGGGCTGAAAAGAGGAAAAAGCTGGAAAGCAGAGGGTCTCCATCAGAGCTGTGTGAGATCCACGTTAAGTCTTGGTGTAGCTATTTCATTTGACATTGAATCTAGGAGAAGTACTGCCTGATAAAAATTCTGCCAAAGCTATGTTCCTATGGTAAGACAATCACAGGGCAAACATCAAAACCTCCTAGCAGTAAAGTCAATGCAGCTCCAAAAACACCTGATCAGAAAGGTCTCAGACAGCTCCATTGTCAAATGGACCAAGCAAAACGACACCACCACCAGAAGTCTTGACTTGGATGTCTTGAGCCTAGAGAGAAAACCATGTCTGGGTTTTTGAGAGGCAGCTCTTGCAATCTGGCAGCAGCACTCCCAGAAGCACTGGGACAACTGATCACAGATGATTCAGGTATAATAAGCAGAACCATCTAAGTGACCGTCTAACGTCCTTCCTCATTTGAAGCATGAGAATTGTGGCAACAAGAAAGGCTGGTTAATAAATGGAGGAAAAGCCCTTCCCAGCTTTGAAGACGTGACAGTGCATTTGTCTAACATAGCAGTGGCCATCCTTGTGTCATAAACCTGGAGAGCAAATGAGCGTAACAGCTGACTGTTGTGATCCCCAAAGACATTGTTCCCCACTGCCTCTTATTTCTCAAATGCCAGCTGCTCTGCAGAGTCCCAGAGAGGTTGCTTTGCTGCTTGCTGTTCCGTGGCTAAATTCAATCCTTCTGCACTGAGGTGTTCAGAGGACTGGGGGAAGGATGAGACAGAAAAAAAGGCGTTGTTTCCTCATTACAAATCAGATAGCGTGACTGACATCAAAAGACAAGCACACAGATGGAGCAAGCAGAGCATGGAGCAGAGTAGGGAAAGAGCCTTGCTGCTGTGAAATAGAAAAAAAAAAACCTTGCCAAGGCAAAAACATCAGGCAGAAAAAGCTCATGCACTGGGGCAAGATACTTTCTCTCTTCAACCAGAGTATCCTTTCCTCCTTCCCATCTCCTGTATGTATTTGCACACATTACTATACCAATTCCAGGGTAAAGCCCCACACTGTGTACTGTTTCCCTTGGGAGAAAATATGACAGCACACAAGTACAACATACTGATCATATCACCCTGCCTTCTAGAAAAGTCTCCCACTCTGCCATGAAGAAGGCAACATACAAATTGCATAGGTCAAACTCTTTCTCTTTCTGTCTACTACCCAAGCAGCAATGCTAAGCATGTTACAGGCACGGCCAACACATTTCACTTGGGCAAAATGGCCTGCAAACCACTGAGAGGAACAAGGGGACAGGTGAATAACACACATCTAACACCTCCCTCGTGTCCAGCAGAAGGTCTTAAAGCAGGGCAGACAAGCTTAGGGTTCACACAAAGAAGCACCCAGACTTCATCTTCCACACCAGAAACACAGTAGACAAGTCACTCTCATCTGAGAGCACAAGGTCTGCCTTTTGCTGCTTTTCTTCATTTTCATCTTGCTTTGATTTCTTCCTTCTTTTTTCATGACTGCTCTTTCTCTATGCAGTAATTACACTGCAAAGAAACTAGCTGAGACTGAAAGAGATGGCAAAGTCCTGAGGCTCCTTCCCCCGTCAAGCAAGAAGGAAAAGTTGAGAAATGTGCTAAGGAAAAGGTGTCAACAGCATTGGGACTGGTGAATTCATTAAATCCACAGGGTTCTTGTCAATATATGCATTCAAATGCATTTTCTACTAACCTGTGGTCTACTCAAAAACATTTTTCATTATTTCTCTTCCTCTGCAGTTGCCCATAACCTCATTTTTTTTCTAACACAGAGGCTATTACCCTCTGATCTAGATAAACAATAAAGCCAGTCCAAAGCACTCCCAAAGTAAGAGCTATTGCTCAGACACTAAAGAGCTAGAGTGATATATTGAAATGGACAGATCTTCCCTGTGGCTAAACCCCTCACTGAATACACATAACCTCATTCCTGCCTTGAAGAAAACAGATTGAAGGCCATGTCAGAGCCAACAGTCAGAACCCTTATATCAAAATGCCTGTAGCACTCCATGAAAAACCGAAGTACCTGCTAAGCAACCAGCTGCAATAAACTTGTCCTTACCACCTCAATGGAGCAATGTGCTTTTCCCAACTATTTCAAATCAACCCCTTTTCCAAAGTCTGGGATCCCTGATTACTCTCTTCTCTTTAGAGAAGAAATTAGGGATAAGCGTAGAACATTGTGGATATACTGCCTTTTGCAAACACTGGCCTTATCCATCTGACTTTTCAGGCAGGAATGGCAATTTTTTTTCTGCCCAGAAGGACTGGAAGCACTCAAACTGGCCAGCATCTTTCAGTTCAGAAGATCTAAGTTCAATTTTGTCCACGTTCTGCCCTAAAACTCTTGCATCTTGCTATAAGGAAAATTTAAAAATGTAGGGTAAGAGCTTTGTCCTGCACAGACACTTTTTTCTTCAGCTTCTTTGCCCATACTTGCTTTTCTTACATAAATCTCCAAAAAGCAATAACCAGCAAAGCATCTTTTGTTCCTATGTGCTTTTGTTTTGGGTGGTGACAAACATTTAGACTGAGGTGAAATTGCTGCTGTTGAATGAAGAAGCTTAACTAATTCTTTTAGATGAGTGGGACAGTTACCTTGTTTCCTTCTCCTTGTTCTTCAGCAGGGTTAGTGAAATTCACAGCATTGAAGTTTCTGCAAAAGTCATGATTAAAGCTTTAACAACAGAGGAAATCTGCAACAGAAAATAATTGCATTAAAATACAGTTTTCAAAAAGCACAACTTAAACAGAAGCACTGCAAAGAAGGAGTGAGCTCATGCTAGCACAGCAATGTGTACTGCCTCAGAAAAATCTGCATTTGGGAGCCAAGCAGAGCCATAACCTGACTGCACAAAATCAATTTTTCAGGTGTTGGCACACAAATATTCCCTGGATTATGAGGTTACTGCTGAGCATGATGATATCTGTGAATTTCCCAGACCTGCTGGATATACTGACACCTGTTATCACCCCACAACTTGTTGAGTCTCAAAGCTGTATGAAGAAAAAAAAAAAAGAAAAAAAAAACCCACAAAAACAAACACTAGAAATTGCTGACATGCCCTGGAGGCATCGGTCCTGCTAGCAAGTGAAGGCAGCCTATAGCCTTCTAACTTAAAATTAAGCACTGTATGGAAAAGCATACCCTAAATGGTTCCAGCCCTATCATCTGCCAGAGACTCTCACTAGCCACCAGACATCCAGGGCTTGCTTCATTTAGGTCTTGCTATACAGGAGTTTATCTGAAGGGGCAAGAGCAATTCAGTCTCTGAGAAGCCAGCAAATTAAAAGATCATTTCATGCAATTTAAATGTTTGGCTGGGATCCCCTGAAGCCTGGTAGGAGGAAGCCCTGGAGGAGGAAAATCAGATACTTTGTTTGAGGCATGTTAGCAAGAAGGAAACTGAGCCAGAGTGCTAGCAGGGCTTGGAGAATTATTCCTGCTGAAGTCAGATTACTCTCTGACTTGTCTGTTAGCCTCTGCTTAGCAGCACAGTAATGACCCAAAATTGCAGCTGACAGATTGGTGCTGAGAGTACATTGAGGCTACCGCATGCGGACGGGCCATTACTCTTTCAATTTTGGTCTCTGAAGCCTGTTAACATACATTAGGCTTTTCCACATGCTGCTTTTTAGCCTGGTGTCCAGGGCAGCTGCCTAGGCCTCAGTCACCACCCACACGCTCAGGCCCCGTCTAATGAAAATGGATGACAACCCCAACTTAGTAATGGGATACAGATGGACCAAATGGTTTTTCGTTTCAAAATATATTTTCATTTAAGAAAGTCTCAAAAGAGTATGAGGTTTTTATTTTTGTATCACTGTAATTTACTCCCCCTAATCCACTGCATTCTTCAGGCAGGCCAGGAATTTGAATTTGCAAACTCTCAGCTTAGCTGAATCTCAAAGTCTGCAGACTCACATCCTGCTTCAGCACGGCTACTTTGCTAATGGCCCTGCCAGTAACGTGCTCCTTCACTTTCCTTCTCTTCCATTTCACTTCTTCTACATATGTTGGAAGCTCTTCTGCAGGACTGACAGCAATTAATTAAACAACTGGTTTACCAATACGAAAGCCTTGTGGAGTCTCCTGACTCTGTACCTGTGAGAACACGGGCAGTGCAATGGGCATGCCAACCAAGGGTCATCTCCAGCAGGACTCCTCATTCTTCAAGTTATTCTCATCTTTTCAATGACACCAATGGAATATGATGTACTCAATAACAAATACACAGAGTAAAAGTATACAACGGGCAAACACCTGCTGCAACAGCAGTGTCTTTGGCCAAATGTCCCTTGCTGCAAGCTGCCAATGTGAGTCTCTGGCTAAGAGGCAGTTTCTTTAAAAGCACATCTCACACAGCTCTTGGGCTAACTTGCTCTCAGTTGCCATCCTGGGGCACCACATCCTGTGCTGCACACAGGCCAGGCAGGACCCACTCACAGCCTGCTGCCCTGGCTCTGTACCTTGCACAGGCAGACCCTAGCAGCCCATGAGGCTGCTTCCGACGTTCCAAAGAGCTCCTTATTTATGGTTTCTGCCTTTGTGCTAAGCCCTTTCAAACAACATGGAAATCATCTCCTTAATTCTAGGGCAATTTGCCCTTGACATCTCATTTACCAGGCACCTACCTTCCCAGAGAGGTGAAGTCTAGTTATGGGTTTCTGAGGGACAGGACAAGTGCCTTTGTGTGCACGTGTGAAAATGGAACGGGACTCAGGAAAGCAATTCTCCCTGAATCTTTCAGCCTTCATTACAGTCCTTCTTTCAAGTGCCAGCTCTGATTTATGGCCTGTATTTCAGAAGCAATGAAGGCCTGCGGCTCAAACTGACCAGCTGTCAGACCAGACTTAAGGACAAGGAAAACATATTAACCTGCCCATGCCTGCCTAGATCCCACAGCTGATACGAGGAGCAGACAGATACGGTGTTGTTGGCACATTGCTCCTACCCAGAGCATTCCTTGGGGCTGTGATCCTTCAAAGGTAGAGAAACCCATGGACTGAGTGAAGATTCCCCTGCAATCTGCAATTTCCCTATAATCTGGATGGAGCCATAAGAAAAGAGGCATCCTACAGACTGTGACTCCTGCTCACTTCCTGCAGGATCTTCAATATATCAGCTGGTACTTTGGTCTGTCTCCAGTTTAACAGACATGATCAATCTTGTTTGAAGCATAAAAATGCTAGCAGAGAGGGATCACTGCACAAAACCTCACAAAGGCTGCTATTGAAATGAAAAAGGAAGCTACAACTTACAGCAAAAGATACATGTATATACACACATGCAATTGCACTTTCCCTGTACAGCAATTCCAAACAACAATAACAAGAATATTGTCAAAATGTAAACTTGGTTAAAGCAAGAGGACATTCCCTTCTCTCACCCTGTATCCTCTCACACAGCAGTGTGAGTCACGTACAATTGGGACTGCTTTGCAATATGGAGACATTCTCATTTTTTCTCTGGAATGCAGTGAGAAGCCACCAGTGGCATTTCTTCCCAGCCATTGTGCCTCCAGCCTGCCCTGCTCCACACAACAAGCTGCTGCCGAGGCACCGAGCTGGGTTCAGTTATCCTTTTCAGAAGAGCAATCACAAAGCACTTTCTGGCCTGCTGGCTCCCAGCAGTGGGTAAATTCATCACTTCACAAAGATGAGTGCTGCTTGCAAGCCAGTATTTCAGAGCAAAAAGACTGCTGCTTGCTCCCCATGGCCTTGGGCTCCAGAAGAGAATACTGATGTTTCCTAGGCACCTGCAGCTCCCTGTCTGTACACCTGCACCTCAGCTTCTGGCAGAGGATTGCTCAGCACAGATTTAGCTCCCACTGGATTGGGAGCACAGGGCCAAGGAGGCTCACAGCATGTAGACGTGCCCTGACCTCAGGGCTTCACTCTGCAGTCTTGTTCCAACCAGAAGACTTACAAGCTCTGTGTAAAACGCCACTGTAGAAATACTCTCCCTTCCTTTCCTCTACAGATTGGGTTGCTGCCTGTGCTAGGCTCACCAGCTAATGCAGAAAATAGACCTAGAGCTGTCCTGACAACTTGTTCTTGCAAATACATAAAAAAGGCATGGCTAAATCAACTAGATATGCAAACTACTTTTGCTCCATGCAGCAGTGACCTCCTCAGCTTCTTCCTATCTGTAAAGAGGAGACTAACATAAACCAGTGAAGCACAACGTGGTGAGGTACCCTCTGTTTTAACAGCAGACTTATCTAACCAGGAAACAATCTGACGATGGGAAGGAGGCCTGACCTCAGGCAAGTTCTCAGCTACACTGTTTATAGCTTTTACATTAAACATTAAAATTTACATTAAACATTAATTAGTTTAAAACAAGAGTCCTCCAGGCCCCCGAGATACAGCTAGAACCAACAGTTCCTCATTCTCAGCTGAATGCCATTGGCCAAAGAGACAACATGCTCTCTCCCAGCACAGCTACTTAATCCTCTGTGCACTGCAGGCCTGGCAGACACAGACACAGACCATCACCCAGCCCAGCCTATCACTTAAAACAAGACATTCTCTGGGCAGGCGTAAGACATAAATTTGAACTATGTTTCAAGTTTCCTTCACTTTTGCTCTTTCTACAAGCCCTACGTAATGCAACAAGTGGGAAGCAGACATGTTGGAAGATTTGAATCCAGACTCAAAGAGCTCTCTCCTAAGCACCTATGGTAAAGAGACTGAAAGGATGACTTGTTTCATTAGGTACCTCCCTCTCAAGGCTGCAAAATGAGATACAAATCTAAGAATGAGAGCTCAGTCAGCTCCAAGGGCGATGGAGTCAGCAAAGAGAACAGGCAGCTCAGACGTGCCTGCTACAGGAGAGCTCACAGGCTCAGTGCAGGCAGTTAAACTGATCACCCCTTGTGTGAGGTGAGCTCCTCAGCAGTCCAGGTTACAGGCCAATGGCTTCTGGTTGTGTTCCCAGGCTAATGCAAATACTCCCTGATCACAGAATCATAGAATGGTCCCATCATGTCCCCCTCTCCAACTCAGCAAAGACTGGAAAAATCCCTCGTGTGAAACATTCTCTCAAGTCATCAAGAGGTACTCAGGATTTCCTGTGCTGCATGTCACGTGAAGATGTCATACAGTCTGAACAGTCTCCATGGAGCACAAACTGCATTCGCAGCTTGCTGCTGCTGGGGGCACTGTGAACAGAGGAGCTGAGAGAAGTAAAGGAGGTTACATTTTCAATTTTCTAGCAGAAACCTGGCTGATCTCTCCCAGATTTACCCAATATTGCATCTGTATATTCCATCAACCGCAAAACAGATTTTTGTTTTTTTAATAACAGACTAACAACTTTTCAAATCAGCATTCAGTGCCTCTAAGCAGACCCAAAGACAATAAAAGTGTAGGACAAAAGATACCTTGGCCAAACATACACTTCATTCTCCCCACAATCTCTGGTTTAACCTTAGTTTTCAGTAACAGCAATCATTGGCTAAAGGTTCCTCTGAGGCTGTGCATTACCTGAAAACAACAGACACAAACCCACCAGACTAAGTGGAACTCTTCTCTTCCCACTAAACTCATCTCCACTTGCCAGCTATCTGGAGACAGACGGTGTCTCTGGGAAGTCTGATCAGATTGAAACTCTCTCCTTTTTCCCAGGATGAAAATGAACGCAGTGAAGTATTGATTCCCCACTAGCTATGTCCCCTGACACTATGTATTAAAATGCAATCTTCACTATTAAAAGGACATACAAACAAGTCACCAGGGAAGCTAATAAATCTCAAATTAATATCTGGTTAGTTCCTGCACAGTATCTATCCACATACACACGTTTTGATCTCATGGTGAATGAGATTTACTCTGTATTCAACAAGGAATAAGCTACCTCACACTCCTTCACAGAGTAGGATATGCACACCCAGAGCTCGACTTGCTACTGAATATTCTGTAGGTTTCCAGCCCCATGATCATTTCATCACCCGTCTGCAGCTTTATGCATAACCATGAGTTACATAGTTCAGTGCAAACATATGCACTGAATACCACTATAGAATCATTAGAATTGGAAGGGACCTTTAAAGGGGCCTTCTATTTTATGAACCATACCATGCACCAAATTAGGCGAGGAAATTTATGTGATAGCTGACTGTAAAAATCTGCTGGTCCTTCTGAAAAAATAATGCATGTCTTTTTCTATTATTTTTTTTAATGTCAAGATAGCTCTCATGCACACACAAAATTATCCTGAGTGGTGCCTTAAAAATATGTTGGCTATTGCATTAAAAAAACAACCAACAGGCTGCCCCTTCTACTTGACTTATACCACTGCAAGACTCACAATTATTTTGTGAAACATTTAAATAAAAAATACCCACATGTGACACACCATCTATAACCCTTCATTACATCCCTCCCACTCCACCTGATCTGCCACTCTACACTCCCTGATACCACACACTGCCATTAGGAGGACCTAGCAGCACTTCAGCCTCAGCACACTGACCACGGAAACAGCAGAATCACATCCAACTCAAACACTGATTTCAGCACTGATGAAAGAAGCTGGCTCAACTGTGCTGGCCCCTATCCACAGCACGTGCACTGGCGGTGCAGGCTTCCTGCTTGGTGCTCAGCCAGCGTGCCTCCTGTTTGCATTAGCAGGAGCCATCTGCAGGGATGAAAGAAGAGTTCAACTTCCAACTTGACTTCCAAGCTCGAGAGTAGCCTGACCACACTCTCCTTCAGGAACCACTAAATAATACAGCCTGCACAGCTTGCTGAACAGGCAGTCTGATACAGCTCACTCCTGCATCTACGTGCTGCAGGGTTTCTCCTTTTCACCGCACGCAGTCATGAGCATTATTATCACAGACAAGATTTGATGGTAGATAATAAGGCAGTTCCTACAAGAATACTTCCAAGATCTTGGTCTCACAATGCAACACAGGCCTTAATAATGGCCATAGTTGGCTCTTCCATAGCACTTACTAGGGTAGTATGGATAGGTTGTGGTTGGACTTGATGAGCCTTAAAGTCTTTTCCAACCTGAGTGATTCTATGATTCTATTGATTCTATGATTGCCATTCATGTACCCTGAGAAAAAATGATAGACAAGAACTATCATGCACATTTTAAAGACAAAGAAACTGAGGTATTCAAAGGGTGGTAATAATAAAACATGAATGCTATCAGCAAAGCAAGGCATAAAATCAGGTCTCCTGCATCCCAGCTGGGTGCTTCAGGCAACACAGCTGGAAAGCTCCATATTCCATTACCCATACACTGAGTCACTGAGTTCCCCCAGCAAGGATCTTATTTTTCATTATGGAATGAAAAATAAAACAAACCATGGGGCTCTAGCCTCTCCTGCAAGCCAGACACAGCCAGAAATTTTGATGGCAAACGAGGCAGTGAAAACACAGCCTGACACAGAACAAAGTGGCATAAGCAAGCCAGCCTACCTGGGTGTGGAGCACTGCACCACTCATTATTCAGGAAGAGCGGGGGAGTTGGGAGCACTATTTCAACAGTAAGAAAACAGGTTGGCTGCTGATAAACCCAAAATGCTGTTGTGCAGATGACAGACTTCATGGTCACTGGCATCCAGAAACAAGACGTAAAGGCTCAAAATCAAACCAGTGCTAACAGCTTCCTTCTAGCTATGGCCACCCAGGCCCTGCAGACAGGCTCTGAAACTTGCAACTGGAGTCTGCTGCTTTGCGTGACCATTCCTAGAGATGAAGCAGCTCCCACAATGAAACCATTACTGCTGAAAATTAAAGCAAACAGCAAATTTAAACTGCTTTCCTCTCCCCTCGGCCCTCTCCCCAAAAGTATTCCTACAAATCTAAGTGTGCACACCAATGCCTCAGCTGCCTCCTTTAAGTAAATACCTGTGCTAGACTCAAACATTTCAGCCTACATTTCATATCTCCCCCCTGCCTTTCAATTCTAAAATAGAGGTTCAGATGGTTCCTCAGCAAGCCAACACAAATAAAGCAGCAGTCCTCACTGCTCTGGGAACAGTAAAGGGCACCCAAGGAGTGAAGCAGCAGAAATCAGGAGTTCCATGGGGTTTTTAAAACAGGGTGATGGGATACCAAGAATCTGCGAGAGAAGCAGGGCTGAGCCTGGACTGGGGCCGGTTTCCTCCAGACGTACAAAGAGCATCCAGAGAGCCGCTCTGGTAATAACCTGGTGTCAGAGCAAGGGCAGGGCAGGGTCAGGTCCCCCTTTTAGCCCCTAGCCATCCTGTTCCACGTCCCTGCAGCCAGAGCCTCGATGGAGACGGGCACAAGGGACTGCGAGGGCTCTCCCCTGCAGGCCCAAATGCCTTTGCTGCAAAACACAGCCAGTGCCTGGACTGTGCCCCACCACAGCACGGCTGCACACACCCACCTGGCCCCTCATGTTGCATAAGGAGCTGCGGAAGTCCCACGGATTGGGGAGGAAGACCCTCTGTTCTCCCCACGCTTCCTCACAGCTTCAAAGCCCTCTTCCAAAATGGCTGCTCCCCTTCATGGCCGCTGCACAAGATGGCCACCACACAAGATGGCGGCTGCACAAGATGGCCACCGCACAAGATGGCCGCCACCCCACAGCCCTGCCCACCCTCCCAGGAGGCGAGGTGAGATCCCGGGGCATGCAGAGGCAGACACGAGTCCCCGAGGCACCATGCTTTATTCTCAGGTGTGCAGGAGGACAGGGAAGGAGCTGAGGGGATGGGGTGTGTGATGACAGGCAGGCGGGCAGCCCAGCAGGGCAGCACTAGCAGGAGGTGAAGGTTTTCCAGAAGAAGTTTTTACAGGGCGCCTTGCGGTCCCGCTGCGAGAGCTGAGCCAGCCGCCCCAGCACCGCCCGCTCCTCCTCCAGCTTGCCTTCCTCCTCCAGGTCTGGGGAGGCCACGTCTGCGCCCTCCAGGAGCCCCGCCAGCATCTTCAGCAGGGCATCCCTGCGCAGCTTGGTCTGCTCCTGTGGGCAGAAAGAAGGAATGATGACAGCCCAGGCAGCCCCTGCGGCCCCTTCCCACCATCATCCTCACTGACATCCTTCAGCTTTGTCCAGCTGAGCCAACAGAACCACGGGAAGCATACGTGTGTTGTTGTAACAAAGAGTCTCCAACAAATAGGCACAAATTAGTAAAATCCCTTGCTACCTGCACTAATTAAATCGCAGTGAATGCCAAGCTGCTTTCTCCTCACTATCCTGGCTGCCCAACATACACCTTGGAAAGGCCAGGGTAGAGGTATGGAGTACAGAGCAATATTAAATTAAGCACACGGGGCTGTAAACCACTGTATAATGCTGGGAATTCAATGTAACAGAGGAGAGGGCCTGGTTGGAGTGAGGAGAGGTGCTCCAAACAACTGGAACACAGCACTTAATCAGAGGCGATGGGCAGTTTGTATTTTTGTATTGCAGCAGCCTGACCCTGGGGTAAAGCAGAAGGAAAGATGGTGTTCTTCTCCATCCCTTTGCCACAAAAGCTTAGGGAAGAGAGCAGTCTCTGGTCTGGAGCTTAAGGGATTTCCATCAGAAATAAGAATCACAGAACCATCAGAGTTGGAAGGGACCTCTAAAGGCCATCTGGTCCCACTGCCCTGCAGTGCACAGGGACACCCCAGCTCCATCCATGCTCAGAGCCCCCCAACCTGACCTTGGGTGTCTGCAGGGATGGGGCACCACCTCCTCTCTGGGCAGGCTTAGTGTAAAAACAGCTGTGAGCTAGGTTGTTTGTATGCTACCCATCAAGCAAACCTGAGGAATTCCCTCTTGCTTGAGCATTCCTGGCCCCTGTGACCCTTCAGCAGAAACAGCTGGCACTGAGTAAGGTGGGATAGATGCTCTGACAGGAACAGATTGCTGCTTCCCATGCAGATGAGAATCTTGGAAGTGGATTTGCACATTGCTTCTCACAAATGCCATCTTTATTGCTGGAAGGTTGTAGTTACCCGTTGGCTCTGCCAGCGGCAGCCTCCACCAAGGTGAGCAGCTCAGAAGATGGATGAACGGAGGCAGAAACAAATATACTGAGTTTCTTTGATAGAATGCTTATGGATATTTTTGAAGAATTTATTAGCTCTAATTACTATGCCTATTTCCACACCCAGAGAAATTAGATGCTATGTTTGGAGCAGAAGAACAGATAAAAGCCAGTTTGTGTCCATTCCAACTCCTGGTCCTGCATAGAAGGTACAGAATTATCTTGAGCCTCAGGAGGATGGGCTGGGAATTGGGAACTCAGCAAAATGCATCTCCTGGGTCATCTCCTCCTCCTAAGCCACTTTCCTTGCTGTAAGCACTCTGTTTTGAACTAACCAGCTCCAAGCAGAGCCACAGATGAGCCCTGCATTGTTAAGAGCCATCTGCTAAGGATTCAGCTCTTCAGTGAAGAAAAATGAAATAGCTATACTAAAATGTCAGATGAACTGCTCCAAACTCAGAGATGGGAAGGCAGAGCTCAGCCTGCTGCTAGAGGATTGTTCCTTACGCATGATCAGCTGTGGCTGTTACTGAAATGAGGCAGCTCTTCCTCTGCACTAATCCATTGCTAACAACCTTTCTGTTTATAGCTCTTCCTGAGTTGCCTGAGATGAAGACTCTTTGGAAGCAGATTTGAGCACTGGTGGGTCATGGCACCCCTTTGGATTGATGCTCAGCTCCCTGCACTGCTTCCACCAGCAATCAGTACACGCACATCTTTCGTTTGCACTGTTATACATTTCATGGTAGTTGATATATGGAATCCTGGTTTTCTTCATGTTTAAACCATTTGTCTGAGTTACAGGAATGGTGATTGCAGACATCACTACATCAGCATCTAACAGTTTTTCAGTTTGTAGACTACTCTGTGGCGAACAATTCTATTTTGACAGATATTGAATCGTAATTTTGTAAGAAACTGTGTTGGGAATTCATAATACTTGAAGGCATTTTTTACCAGAGCCTTACTGATTTATTCTATGCAACTAGTTTCATTTTCCCCCAGCAGCTGGCATGTCCACCAGCTAAGAGATTCACTTTTTAAGTGCTGGATTTGCTACGGTAAGAATGGATGGCTGAAACTTCAGAGTTCTCCCCAGAAGGGTTAATCTCAGGCAGCTGCAGAAGCCCTGATCTCCAACAGAAAGCCATTCCTAGCACCTCACACTGTATTTCTGTCTCGCAGCCAGTTTTACTGTTAATAGGATGTGAGAACACTTAAAGCAGCAAGACACTGATGGATGAGCTGGAGCCAGCGCTGAGACAGAAAGGATGATATGGGTGCACAAAGGAGAAGTCAGTGCCTTTGAAACCGACACAGGAATCCTTCACTTGTCTGGGGAGCACCTATCCAGAACTGAAATAACAGCAGCACTACAGATACAGCTGTGAAATAGAGCAGCACAGCGTTGTGTGACTGAACACAGCTCAGAGGAACCCTGGGGATGGCGAGGAACAAGCAGGTGAGAAAACTGCGGGGCAAGGGCAGGCAGCACACAGCACTTGCCTGTGATTATGTTATGCTATTGCTTCCTACCTCTTTGGCCTCTCAGGGAAATAGTCCAGCAGAAAAAAAAAAAAAAAAGTTATTATAGTGCTGTAGCTATTATAACATTAGAGTTTTGCCAGTTGGTAGGATAATTATATTGCTATAATAAGTTCTGCCACTGCATAGAGCCTGTGCTGGTTCAGAGTGTAATTATTCTAGCAGAACTATGTCGGTATAACTCCCCCTGTGAATACTACTCTGGAAAAAGCAATTTTATTCTGATATAATTACTTCATTTATTATTCCTCTGTTACTTTCTTACTGAACCCATCTTTTAAACATTTGTCCTTCCCTGGAGTCCTATTTAAAATATCATCTCCCTTGATCATTTTACCAATTATGTATCTTTTCTCTCCCTCCCTACTACTCTGCTTCATCCTCTCGTGCTGCACTCCTTCAGCAATCTTATTTTCTCCCTCTCCCTCCTCTGGCCGCTCTGTTTTCTTTGCCAGTTTTTGCTTAGTTCAGATTTCACTTTTGCAATCCTCAGGAGCCTGCTGTGGTACCTTTCCTAAATAAACTGGCTAATAAGCTGTAGTAATAGCCCTGCTTCAGCAGCGCGTGAAGCTGTACTGTCTTGGAACACGCAGAGGTAGAAGTGTTTACATCAAGTAAAACCCAACTGCCCTTTTTATCCATCCCCTGACAACTTCAGCCTGCTCCTGCATGCTCCCATCCCACCCAGCTCCTGCACGGGGTGCATTATACTCACCCTACTGTTCTGTAACGCGAGTCTCTCTTCTCCAGGCAGCGCCGTGGCTCTCACGCTCCACACCAGCAGCAGAACAGACACCAGGCTGGCCACCAGCTGCATGATGCACAGGCTGTGACTACTGTGCTGAATTAGGAAGACTGGGAGAGGGAGCTGTTTCTGGGCTCTCTTCTGCCTCAGACAATGGCTGCAGCCCCTTTTATAGCCCTCCCCCTAGCCCAGTGGGTGACGCAAACAATTAATTCTATATCAAAGGCAAATTAGACTTTGGAGAGGTTGTTAACACTTGGCTGCTTGAGTGGGATACTTCAGTGCCTCTGGGCTTTCCATGTGCCAGACCTGCAGAGAAAGCGAGGGTTTGGGATTCTCCAATAACATGCTGTTTCTTCACCCCCAATACTTGTAGGAAATATCTGTGCCTCTTCTAGTTAGCTAAATTCCACTTGGGAACATAACATTGGCTAGAACAGGCCACCAGGCTTGCACCAACCTCTGGCCAATGCTGGGCGACTCAAAAGGAAAAGGTAAAATTTTTGGCCATCAGTACTAAATATGAGCAGCTCAGACCTTCAGCCATTGTGTCTAAACAGCTCTGGACTCAGTGGGTACTCGGATCTGGATCTCTGCAAGCTGTGATATATCCCACAGTGGAATGCCAGTATGCCTGGCTTTCCCTTTACAGTAACGTGGGGACACAGGTTGCAGCTATGCAATAACATCACACTTTGCAAATGTATCTGCAGCTACAAGGAGGCCGGTTGGTAGTTACTGGTTTTTGTTTTTAGTATTGTTTCAATGTGTCTTGAACCAATCCCATGGATCAACACAGTGAATTCTGACTTGGAGACGCTGGGTTTAAGTCTATTAAAAGGAAAACAAACCACTGAACAATCAATCATAACTGGAGCTGTTCCATGCAGTGGGACTTCAAGAAGCCTGCGATGTGCTGACACTGACTGCAGGCTGCTTGGCATGTGTCCCCACCTTCTCTTGCCCCTGATTAGTAGTAAAGAATGCTTCTCTCTTTGCACAAAATATGATCCCAGAGTGAGACTGGTTTGGGGACCAGCAGAAGGTACTATTTAAATACTGCTGCCTGCTTTCCTTTGCCCCTGTCACATAGGGTGGCATTTACTGTCTCATTCTGTTGAGACGCAGTGACAGAGCTAAGGATCTCATCTCACTTTCTCCAAAAGCATTTACCTCAAGACAAGCTCCATTCTGAACCAACCCCAGCAGTCAAAAGGTGAATTATGATCCTAAGTTAGCACATTAAAAAAGCACAGCAGAGTGACTTAGCCAGAAGGTTTCTGTGTCAGAACAAAATGAAACAGAAAGATGTATTCCCCACTTGCACTGCTCATCAGTGTCAAAGTTCTTGGAAAGAACATAATGAAGTTCTGCCTGCAAACAATCCAGCTCCTAATGCCAGCTATACCATCCTGGGTGCTCGAGAGAAAAGATGCCATCTCATCCATGCATATTTGAAAAGAAATACTGGATTCCCTCACCAAAAGTTACAAAGAAGAAAAAAGTTTTTCTAAATGATAGGGACCTGTGGGGAGTTAATGATCCAGCAATTTCTATAAATGAATTTTCCTGAGAAAACTGTAACCCCATTGCTTCTCATCCCTCCTTGTGAGGACTAGCTCCCATGCACCAGTTTCAGATGAAACATTACCCATTTCCTTTTAAACTCATCTTGCTAGTTTATCAGAATTGCTGCATTACCCTTCTTAATGGATTCTGTCAAATGCTTCCCAGCATGTCTGGGGCTCTAGACAGAGAGCAGCGAAGGAGCAGACTCCAGTGAGTAAAGCAAATCACTGGGACCTGTGAAATGACCTGCAGCTGATCTGCTGTGGGAGAGGAAAAATGGGAGAACAGCAAATGGAGAAAGCACGCTTGGTTGCTCAAGAGGAACGAAGGGCATGTACCTGTGTGAGATGTGGCTGGGCTGACAGGCAAGCAGAAGGTGAATCTTGTACTGCTGCTTACAGGGCAGGACCAAACCTCATGGGCCAAGTCGCCCAAAAGCTAGATACAACAAAAGCAGTACAACCAGGTCTCCATGCTGGGTGCTGAGCCAGAGCACATCAGCTTCTGAGGAGGTCCATTGGGATGCAGCGACCCAGCTGCAAGCAAGTCTGCCCTGGGATTAAAGGGCAATAATAAAATAATTAGCATCTCCTAATGGGGTTGGCTTTGGAGTGTATCTGCCCGGACATGCAACACCAAACCTGCATCCATCTGACCAGCACGGTGCAGACAAAACCTGCACTTCTACTTAGGGAAAGGCAGGGACCCTTCCCAGCTGTGAGGGAGGGGAATAAGCACACATGGAAGCAGTTCCACACTGGGACCAAATCTCTAGAATCAAATAGGTTCTCTCAGCTGCTCTGCTTCAGCACCCTTCAATATCAGAAGCTTTCCATTTTTTCCCAGATTCCTCCATCTTCCCTTTCCTCTACATTAGCCTGTCCTCAAGCTCTGATCCTCTGGCCCTTTTGTAGTCCCTTCTGTAACATTAGGGCTGACTTCCTTCTCCAAAGGAAGCAGAATAACTCCACAGTGATACAATTTGTTCTTTATAGTAACAGGAAAAAATATCAACTGGTTGCACCAGGATTGCTACTATTTCCCATTCTCTGTCATGACTGGCTGACCTTAAGGTGGCCCAAACTTTTCCTTTGCCAGCCCTTAAATGCTTATCACTGTACAGGTAGGTTTAAAGCCTTCCCTTGACATCCTCTTGACACTTTCTCTCCCTCAGTTATCTGACTCACTTATTTAAAAGTCCTTTTTCATCGATTTTCATTGACACTCTCTTCTGACTGGAGCAGTATGAATGGGTTGCTACCACTTTACAATGAGGGCAGATCTATCTGCAATCAGCATGCCTGTGAACATGTCCATCAGAGCCTGGTACAGGTGGGGATCCTCCAGATGGAAATTCAGCATAGAAGGTGGCCTGAAAAGGCCTGTGTAGGTACCAAAGCTCACAGAATATGCTTATACAATTACAACCACCACCATCTTTTTGTGATAAAGGGTGACCAAGCCATATGCATAGGGGATTTTGTCTTCGAAGGAGTTCATTGCCCTCTTGTCAGCATGTCTGTACAGCAGTGAAGGCATTATTGGAATACAAAAGGGAACACAGTGTCTGGCACCAAATGCCACATTAAGGAATTAGATCATCTCTATTACTTTCTTCTGTGGCTTGGATATTTGCTGTCTTCTACCCTGGTCTTCTACCCTATTTGTTGCCTGGTCTGAATTTGAATCACCAGACTTTTTTGAAGCATGCTGCAGAATTGCATCAGGCTTCCAGAACAGTCAGGTTCCCAAAGGTGGGACACTCAACTGCAGCTGAAGGAAGAGTTGCAATACCTCTGCTTTCATGTCACTGGAAGCCTTTCTGCTTGCCTTCAAGAGTCCCTGGTTGCAAAGGACAAAACAATAAATAAAGCAATGCTCATCTGACAGTTGTGAGCCTTCCTGGAAGGGGAAGGGATTTGTCCACGGGTCTGAAATCACAGCTGATTTATCAGGCCAGGCTTGCAGTATTCCCTCACAGTGCAGCCCCCCAAGGACTCCACAAAGCATACGGGTGGCTGTGTCAGCCATGGCTTTCATTGGCTCTAATCTAACAGACCCCAGAAAGAGCGTGGGCTGGAGCCTACAGCTCCCGCTCATCTCTGATGAGAGCTGCAGAGCAGGTGCAGGGAGGAGGAGGGGAATACCGCAGGGATGCTGCTGTCAGAGCACACATAACTACAAGCCTGTTACAGCCCTCTGGGGAGGCAGAGTGTGAGGAGCAGTGCTGCTTTCTCTGTCCGTCGACCTCGACAGGACTGCAGGAGGGCAGGCATAGTGCTTCAGTGCTATGCTCAAAACCTTTCATTTCAGCGTGCAACGTAAAGCTAAAACACTTCAAGTTTGCCACTCAAAATCATCTTCAAAAAACAACTACTTGCTATGAGACACTTACTTCGAAATTCTTCAAGCTTTCCACTGAACTTGCCTTGCCCAGCTCCAAGCAGGAGGAATGTCAGGCTGTGAAACAGGCTAAGGATGTGTGGGATAACTACTGCCTCGTGACAGATGAACTGACCTCTGTTACACCAGACTCATCCCATCGATGGCAAGGGATTCCTGAGGGATTGCATATGCTCTGTGCCTTGTGGGAATCAGGCAGAAACAGCTGGGCACTGACGTTAGCACACAGGGCTGATCCTGCCAGGGGTCGCTCGGCTGGGAGAGCCTCACACGGGGATTCACTCCACGTGGGGTGAGGTTATTCCTCTCCTGCAGCTGAAGAGGGATGAAACACACAAAGGTCATCACATACATCACCTTGCCCTTGTTGCAGGATCAGCTTGCTTAAGCAAATTCCCTCTCGGTGCTGTTCAGTACCAAGGAGAGGGCAGCCAGCTCCGTGTTCGATGTGGCTGCCGTTCAGGAGCAGCCTGTCACTGACATCTTTCAAATTCCTAATGATCCTCCTGCCTTCATCTGCTTCACATGTTGCTGTTCTATAATTGAGATCCCCTGGCTCTAATTCCCCACCTCCTGCATATTTAAAAGCATTTAACTCCATCCTATACACAGCCAGGAAAGAGCTTCACCGAGACTTCTCAGTACGTAACTTCATTAAATTTCTCATCTTACTTTTTAATGGCATTTTGTCTGACTTTGTCTAGACTGGAGCTGCTTTTTCATGCTTTTGTCCCTTTTTCTCCCCACAATTTTATCATAGAAACTGGCCTCTCCCTGAACTTGGTGGCATTTTTTTCTTTTTTTTTTTTTTTTTGACTGTTTGCTTATTGAGACTGCTGCTCTCTGATGCAAGATGAATTGTCATTCCTACCTCAGCAATCTCTTGCTCCAGCCAAGCTCCATCAATAATTCAAACCAGGCCTTGATAACATTAGCTCTGGATGAATAAGACACTCATACCAATTAACTGGCTGAAAGGGCTCAAGAGATATGGGCAAGAGATTTCTCTTAGTTTTTTAAGCTCTTTTCTGAACTCTGAAAAATTGAGTTAGTTTAATAAGTAAAGCACACAGAGCAGGGAGTCTGATAGTTCAGAAGGC